AGAAGTTGGAAACCCTCTGTGTGGAGCTCCGCGGGGAAGTAGGGGAAGCCTGGGAGAAAAAAAAATAACTGGTCAGCCTCCGCGATTAAGCACCACGGTGATGACCGAAGTTGCGGACAATCAAACTCAATAATGCCCGTGATGGAATGCACAAGCAGGAGTTGTTCCGAAAATACCATGATTGATGGGACGTCCTCATTGATTGATTATGCCGTGCAGAATGGCTTCGGATGAAAAAAGAATAGTCTACGAGCTTCTTGCGTGTAGGCCACGACCATGTACAGAACTTTACTATCGCTAAGGAAAAATGATAATAATTGCAAACTACTGTGTCATCTTTAACTACATGGAGTCGAGGCTCACTATTTGAAGAGTGGGTATGTTTCATTCCTCCTCCCTCTCGGCCATACTGGATCCTTGCATCGGAGCTAGACCATAGTGACTGGAAAGGAGTCGTAAGGCGCTAGGTCCGCTGTAACGATATTTCTGTATAGTTTATACCAATGATGTTCATCAGGCCAGACACGTAGTATCAGAGACGTCCTTTTTAAAATGCTCGGGACCTACATCTAGCAGGCCGTATACCCTCCATCAACAGTCCATTGAGCTACGAAATTGGAATTAGTCCCAAGGTTCTTGCTCCAGGTTCGGTGATCTTACCTCCAGTCACATATGATGCCTCATCGCTCAACAGGAAACATAAAACATTGGCCACTTCTTCAGCCTTGCCCATGCGGCCCAGCAGGGTTGCACCGCCCATGACATCCGCGCTGAAGAGGCCCTTCTCCTCGCCATCGCGGAAGATGCGCGTATCTATCGGTCCTCTAGTAGTAGCTTTTGTCAGTCAAAAAAAAATCTCATTCGCCAATAATTTTTTTAATCGTTGTCACACGCACGGAAGCAGAGCATTGATCCTCACGCCGGCCCTTCCATACTCGCCTGCAGCGGATGCCGTCAATCCGATGACTCCATGCTTGCTGGACGAATACGCCGCGCTTTTCGGCAGGCCGTGGATGCCCGCAGTGCTGGCAACGTTGACGATCGAGCCGCCGGGCTTCGGGAGATGCGGAAGCTGAGCACGCATGCAGTACATGACCCCGCTGAGGTTGACCCCGATCATGCGATCCCAGTCCCTTTGCTCCTAGAACTGGTCAGCATCCTAACC